GTGGCGGTTTCGGCTCGTGGCGGTTTCGGCTCGTGGCGGTTTCGGCTCGTGGCCGAAAGCTCGAGCTGCTTCAGTAAGAAGAACACAGCTCCTCTATTGCTCACCTTGGTTCGGTCATATTTGAAAGATATTCTAAGGAGATTATTTGGACATCAAGACGAACCGATTTTTGAGGTAGGAACTCATTTTCGAGAAAAAAGTTTTTTTGAGGACCACCCTACTGAGTGGTGAGTGGGGGTTAGTGTACATACCCAGCAGGGGAGTGGGGGCAGTAGGGGGGCGGCGGGGTCCTTGGGGCCCCCCGCGGCGGGGGCGGCGCCCTTGGGGTACAGGTCGAGGGCCCAGGAGAAGTTGAGCTGGGCCCTGTGAGCGTCGCCCAGCTGCTGGTACGTCTTGCCCAGCAGCAGGTACACGTTGGCCCCACGAGGTACAACAGGCTGCAGCACCTGGGGTACGTGAGGCGCATGAGGCACAGGTACACGTTGGCCTCACGAGGCACAAGAGGCTGCAGCAACTGAGGTACGTAAGGCACAGGTACACGTGAGGCACAGGTACACGTGAGGCACAGGTACACGTGAGGCACAGGTACACGTGAGGCACAGGTACACGTTGGCCTCACGAGGCACGAAGGCCCAGCAGAGAACAGGGGCAGAGCTGGGCTGGCCCAGTGGGCCCTACCTTGAGGCCCAGCAGGGCAGAGCGGGGCTGACCCAGTGGGCCCTACCTTGAGGACCAGCAGGGCAGAGATGGGTTGGCCCAGTGGGCCCTACCTTGAGGTCCAGCAAGGCAGAGCTGGGCTGGTCCAGTGGGCCCTACCTTGAGGTCCAGCAGGGCAGAGCTGGGCTGGTCCAGTGGGCCCTACCTTGAGGTCCAGCAGGGCAGAGGTGGGCTGGCCCAGTGGGCCCTACCTTGAGGTCCAGCAGAGCAGAGCGGGGCTGGCCCAGTGGGCCCTACCTTGAGGTCCAGCAGGGCAGAGCTGGGCTGGCCCAGTGGGCCCTAACTTGAGGTCCAGCAGGGCAGAGCTGGGCTGGCCCAGTGGGCCCTACCTTGAGGTCCAGCAGGGCAGAGCTGGGCTGGCCCAGTGGGCCCTACCTTGAGGTCCAGCAGGGCAGAGCTGGGCTGGCCCAGATCCAGGTACACGCAGGCGCGGTGGTAGCGGCACATGGCGTTGTTGGGCTCCAGGGCGATGGCCCGGGACAGCGTCTGGAGGGCGGCGCTGCTGCGGCTCAGCGCCTGCTGCACCTGTGGGGCCAGAGACGGGGTTATGGTGGGGCCAGAGACGGGGCTACGGTGGGACCAGAGACTGGATCACGGTGGTCCCAGAGACGGGGTTACGGTGGGGCCAGAGACGGGGCTATGGTGGGGCCAGAGACGGGGTTACGGTGGGGCCAGAGACGGGGTTACGGTGGGGCCAGAGACGGGGTTACGGTGGGGCCAGAGACAAGGTTATGGTGGGGCCAGAGACAAGGTTATGATGGGGCCAGAGACGGGGTTATGGTGGGACCAGAGACAGGGTTACGGTGGGGCCAGAGACGGGGTTATGGTGGGGCCAGAGACGGGGTTATGGTGGGGCCAGAGACGGAGTTATGGTGGGAGCGAGAGATGGGGTCAGGGTGGGGCNAGAGACAGCAGTACCACAGCACCCACCGCAGCACCACAGCACACACCACAGCAATATGACACAGCACCACAGCACCCACCACAGCACCACAGCACCCACCACAGCAATATGACACAGCAGCACAGCACCACAGCACCCTGCTGGTGGGGTGCACGGTGAGGGCCCTCCTGAAGTATAGCATATAGACTGCATTGCAGGGGGTAGCGATGCATCGAATCAAACCAAGCCCCACGCCGCAAATAAACTATTATTTATATACGATGAAAATTCATAACTGCAGTTCTTAATAGATACCGGCGCCGCAATTAGTGTAATTCCGCCGTCGCGCAGCGACCGAAAGCATGGTCGTTTTTGCAATCTCAAAGCAGCGAATGGCTCGCCGATTCTAGTCTACGGCGAGAAACTTCTGTCACTCAATCTCAATCTGCGACGTGAATTCACTTGGTATTTCACAATAGCTAATGTAAAACACGCTATTCTAGGCGTAGATTTTCTCGCGTTCTACAACCTAACCGTTAACGTAAGGAAGCGGAAGATCGTTGACAACACAACCCAGCTATCAGTCAACGTTGACACTCTAGCATGCTCTGACGCAAACCGCATAGGCAACGTTTATAGCTGTAGCAATAATTCGCTGTTAAAACTGATCAACGAATTTCCCGATCTAACTTCTCCCGTGTACAAACCGTCGCCACTAAGTACGTGCCAGCACCGTATACCAACTACAGGTCATCCCTGCCGCGCCAAGGCCCGTCCGCTAAGCGCTGCGTTACTCAAGCCAGCGCGGGATGCGATTAAACAAATGTTAGCCGATGGAATCATTCGCCCTAGCCGTAGTGAATGGGGTTCATCATTACACATGGTCCCCAAAAAGGATAACTAATGGAGGCCAGTAGGCGATTATAGGGCACTAAACAAAATCACAAAACCCGATACCTACACCTTACCTTTTCTTACTGATTTTACAGCTGAACTCAATGGTAAGAAAGTGTTCGCTCGAATATACCTTAAATCTGCCTTCCTACAGGTACCAATTCACCCCGGCGACATTCCAAAAACCACCGTTGTCACACCATTCGGCGCATACGAATTCTTTAAAATGAATTTCGGATTCTGCTCCGCCAGTCAAACATTTCAGCGTTTCCTGGATGAAGCTCTTCGTGACCTTTCTGCGCCAACAAGAGATGGAAGTTCTCGTCCAGTCACCTTCTTCAACTACATCAACGACATCCTGATAGCATCAGACGATGATGAACAGCATCTAGAAGATATGCGTGCCTTGTTCACGCGTCTCACTCACCACGGTCTGAAGATCAACCCGCTGAAATGCGAACTAGGCGCGTCACAACTCGACTTCCTGGGACATCGTATCACCAGAGGTGGGCAGTAGCGCGCTACATGTAGCGGCCGCTACATTTTCAGTAGCGGTAGCGGTAGCGGCTCTACATTTAAGGCAATGTAGCGGTAGCGGTAGCGCCCGCTACATATTTAAGTAGCGACACGAGGTTTTGCCGCTACAGCGCTACCGCTACATTTATAGATGAAGCCTTTAGATTTTACTTAAGGGGACCAGCTACCCTCCAACAAAACTTTTTTGTTTACAGACGGATCGTTTCGAAACTTGGTACACATATGTAAAACAGAAATCTAAGACCATTTTGTTTATGTAAATTAAAAAAAATGAAAGAAAACGTGGAATCAATAGAAAACGGCAAATAAGGGGTACTCTAAAAAAGTTTATAACTTTTGCAAATCACATGCTACAATGGCGAGACACATATCATTCAATTTGTAACAACAATATCTAGCGACTGTAGAGCCCCGATTTTTTATTTTCCTCATTGTTTTTTTTATTCGCGTTCTTCCCATTTTTTCCGCATTTTTACCCCCCACCCCCTCCCCCTCCCATAAATAAGTTAAACCATCCACATATTAAAAAAAAAAGCTTCTAGAGTCGCTAGGTATTGTTTTTACAAATCGAATGGTATGTCTCTCATTGCCGTAGCTTGAAAACTGTTGGAGTTATAATTTTTTTAAGATTGCGGTTTTTTTTTATTTTTAAATTGTTCAGGGGAGCCAAATAAAGTAAAATTCATTGAAAACAGAAGAATATGCCCAAAAAGTCTTGATATTGTAGCCCAAGCTTTCCTATTGCCAATTATTTTCATTCAGGGTACCAGCACGCGTCTTTAGACATATTTATGTTCAATTTAACGTGAATAATAGACTATAAATGGGACTTTTTATTAATAAATATATATATAGAGAAAATATTCATTTTACATAACTTTACAACTGCATTACGCAAAAACTATTGCATGTACATCCATGGTAGTAGCTTTGTTAAACGCGTTTTGTTTGTAGCTTTCAAACGAGTGCAAACACTTTGCAATTAACCTAAATAATGACAAAAATACCATTTATTTGTAAATAATGATATAAAATGATCATTTTATAAAAGTTCAAGGCTGCATTACACAAAAAAGTATTGCATGTACATCTATGGTAGTAGCTTTGTTGAACGCGTCTCGTTTGTAGCTTTCAAAAAAGTGCAAACACTTTGTAATCAACGAGAGTAATGATCTATAGATACAGATTTAATTCAAATAAATCTTTGTACATATTGTTAAAAAATGTTCATATATATATTTAAAATTGTCTTACGCAAAAATTATAGCACGCACAGACATGCGGTAAACTGCGTTAGACGCGCCTTTTCAGCAGCTACAAAATGAGTCAAAAAACGGTAAAGCCCAAATTTCCGATTTTTAGGGTAGCCGGTCCCCTTAATAGTATTAAAAATTATTTAAAAACCAGCATGATACTTCCATAATATAAATTACAGAATAACTAGTGTCAACATGTTAGTTGTTACCTGTTAAGTTGTTACCAGTTACCACTTACAGGTTTTTTCATCTTTCAGTTTGCTTACAGTTATTTTTACACAGTTATTTTTATGTTTCACCTTCCCTATTTAATACTTAGAATATACATTAAAGTCGTACATTTTAAATCATATTAAATAATTATAACATCATCACGAGAGTTTCGGAGAGAGCAGCTCTGTCGATGGCAACTGACGGAGAGAACAGCTCTGTCACTGACATGTGGAACAGCCTCCCTGAAGATATTGTTGACGCTCCGAATATGAACGCGTTCAAGAACAGACTAGACAAGGCCATGCAGGAGCATATGTTTAGTCTTAAAATGCCTTGTACCCTACGGAACAACTGATATCTAGAATCGATTTGAAATCTACCGTCCGTTGAAAAGATCTGACCATAAGGCCAGTCTAGTCAAGAAAAGCACAAGAATCGGCGGCAGGCCTATCCAGGCCTATTCTTTAATGCCGAAGATACTATACTATACTAATGCTTCAATTTTACGATTTTCTACTACCCGTCCAGTTTTGCTAATGTGGTATTCCTCCAACTAGCGTTTAGAGTACCTGTGTGGCAGTAGGAATGGTTTTTGTTGTAACCAATTGTACAACGTAGTTCAGTTCGTAATAAACCTACACCGACTACGGTTGCACTTTCCAGCTCCTTCATACGTCATTTTCGGTCACATCAGTCAAAGGTTTTTGTAAAAGAGTGATCATGCAAAAAGAATAAAGACATAAAATGAGAGTTTATGGAAGCCATTTTAAACACTATGATCATCAGTACCTAGCGCTACCCGTACTTCACTTACAATATCAGGTGCTGAGTATTTCATGGAAATCCTCAGGTATGCAAGTACGGATACTTGAATGTTCCGACGCACCATGTGCATGATGTGCTTCCCGAGTTGGGATTCCGGTTTAAACTTCGGCCCGAGACGGACGTAAGTTACTGTGCGAGAGAGAAGCTTGAACCGTTGTCGAAAGAGGACGTTCCTGTGAACCTCTCTGTTTTTCTTATCATTGTGATTTGTGAAAGTGCTAAACGATCCCTCAATGACTAATACATCTGAGGGTCAAGATCTTATTGATCCTGGTGCTTCACCAAACGCATCAGAGCTGAGTCAGCTGGCAATGACCGATTCGCAACTCAGACATTTTTGCGAAACTGAAATTACTGACGGGAAAGATTCAACTCCTTCCTCATCCCAAGATGGCAACTCACCAGAATGTGGAGCGGCTCGTCGGAAGCGCAAGGGTGCGCCTGCTACCAGTGAAGAAATGTCGGGAGATACAAAGAAGAGGCCCAATGCCGGAATGATCTCAGCTCCTGTTCCCATAGTGGAAACAACTCGAAAGAATACCAATGATGTTGTGGGGTTGGACTTGCCCACCGCCACCAGTGCCACCACAACTGATCGACAAGATTCCTGGGTGGTCCTCATCCGCCCAGCAGATGATGGCTCGAAAAGAATGCTGACCTCACCGGAGCAGCTCTGCTCAGTATTAGAAGCACCGCCTTTTTCAACCATGCGTGTGGAAGACATACGAGTGAACCGTAGAAAAGGTTTGATTGCTGTTCAGCTACAGGATGGCAGTGAAGAGGATATTGCTTTTCTTTTGCAAATGACTCAGCTTGGCCCATGGTCAGTTAGGTGCTCCCAACCTAATCAAGGGAAGTACTGTTATGGAGTCATTACTCCTGTTGATATCGAAGCTGATGTAAATGCTATGGAGAGGAGAGTTCAGGTAGATGGCCCTANAGTGGCGTACCGCAAGGAAGCGTTCTTGGACCTGTTTTGTTCGTCGCTTTTATAAACGATCTACCAGAAGTAGTGTCAAGCGTGTGCTCCATGTATGCAGATGACACAAAAGTTTATAATACAGTTAAGGATGCGTCAAATAAAATGCAAGTGCAAAATGATCTTGATAGTTTAGTTGATTGGGCTGATACGTGGCAGCTGCGTTTCAATGCTGACAAGTGTAAAGTACTTCACCTCGGCAAGAACAATGAACAGCAAGCTTACAGCATGAGAAACACGGTTGCAACGAGAGGGTTATGATTGAGAAGTCTTGCGAGGAAAAAGATCTTGGAATTTGTGTCGACAAGGAGCTAAAATTTTATAGGCATATTGAAACGCAAGTTTATACATCTAATAAACTGCTTGGGCTGATCAGACGCTCCTACGAGTACCTAGATATAGAAATGATGAATTTGTTGTTCACCTGTCGTGCGCCCGAA